TATTTCACACACACACACACACACACACACACACACACACACACACACACAAACACTCACACACATATATATATATATATATATATATATATATACATATATATATATATATATATATATGTGTGTGTGTTTGTGTGTGTGTGTGTGTGCTTGTTATTATTATTATTATTATCATTAAAATTTATGAAGCGCTTATCAAAAATAATAGTGTTAATTTTTCAAAAGCGCTATCCTATAATTAACAGAAATAACTGAAAAAGTAGATAAAATAAACCACAAATAAATCAGTTCACAGTTATTGATTAAATAAATGAGTCTTCAAATTCTTCCTAAAGTTTTCAATTCCTGAATTGCACACCCTCAACGGGTGGTTATATATATATATATATATATATATATATATATATATATATATATATATATAAAACTTCTCGTTTGTAGTTATTTTAAGATCTCGTCTCGTTTGTCTCGTCTTGAGCTCTCAGTGTCTTAGTCTTGTCTTGTTTTTAAAAAAAACCGTCTTGTCACAGCCCTGAAGTTGTAAACCGTTTTTACTAAATGTTTATGATACGTGAATACGTGAATTATCCTCCGAGATTTCTTTGTAGGGCATGGCCCCTTTTCTTTCCTCAATTGATGTTACGCTGAGTTAGCTGAGTGGTCATGAGGTCTTTAGAATGTCATGTGACCTTATGAGATGTCATTTTGTAAGGTTATGGTGAGATTAAAATTTGTGATTGCTGTGCAATCGGCGTGATGTCACGGCCTGGTTGCCTTGCGCTATTCTAAGTTATTTTTTTTTGGCGTAACATTGACAATCGTACAACAACAATAACAATGATGACATCAACAATGACGTCTTACAACAACAAAAATGATGACACTGATGAATATGCATGAGTACGATGACCCATCTCTCTTCCAAAGGTCAACAATGTGGACATGTTCAGAGCCCGCCATGAAAAGGCAGCCAACGTCTTGAAGGCAGCTGATGATGTTGTTGACCTGGTGCTTGCTTATAACCCGGAGGGTTTGTATTTCATCAGCTGTTTGGTTTGCTGTGTTATGTTTACTTGATTTCTGTTGTTGTTTTTCGGTGTTTGAATTGTTGTGCCGTGTTGTTGGAAGCTGGCTGTACCATTTGTTGTTTGGTTTGTTGGATGTAATGTTGTTTTGTCTCATATGTCATCTGATATGTTGCTGGGTTTCTGAATGGCTGGTTGCTTGATATTTTGTTTTTGGGACAGTGTTGTTATTGTTGTTGTTGTTGTTGTTGTTATTCTTAATGTTGTTTGTTGGACTTGATGTGAAACTGATGTTATGTTGTTGTTGTTGTTGTTGTATTTTGCCTCAGCGTCATTCTCACTTAGGCGTTGAACAGCTAACAAGCTGGTTGACATGCTTGGTTGCTGGTGTTCAGCCAAAACTAATGGATGCATTTGAAACATTTTTTTAAGTGTTTCAAACACGTCACATACAGTTTTTTTTACCACTAACACCCCAATCAATCAATAACATTAACAATAATCACAAATCATTAACATGCCAACATTGTCAAATTGAAAGGTCGTCATCGCATCGTAATGGCTGGTCATGACTCGTCAATATTGTTTTATTTGCGTGTTATTAATGTCGTCGTCGTTGTGGTTGTTGGTGTGGTTGGCTGATTGTCTGCAAGTTACTCATTGACTGCATTTGTGATGACGATGAAGATGACGATGGGGATGATGATGGGGATGATGACGATGAAGATGATGATGGGCATGATGATGATGGGGATGAAGATGATGATGGGGATGATGATGGGGATGATGACGATGAAGATGATGATGGGCATGATGATGATGGAGATGAAGATGATGATGGGGATGATGATGGGGATGATGACGATGAAGATGATGATGGGCATGATGATGATGGGGATGAAGATGATGATGGGGATGATGATGGGGATGATGACGATGAAGATGATGATGGGCATGATGATGATGGAGATGAAGATGATGATGGGGATGATGATGGGGATGATGACGATGAAGATGATGATGGGCATGATGATGATGGGGATGAAGATGATGATGGGGATGATGATGGGGATGATGACGATGAAGATGATGATGGGCATGATGATGATGGGGATGAAGATGATGATGGGCATGAAGATGATGATGATAAAAATGATGATGGTGGAGATGATGATGAGGATGATGACGATGAAGATGACGATGACGATGAAGATGATGATGACGTTGAGTATGATGATGTTGGTTTCGATGACTATGATGATGGTAGTATGTAGTAACAGCCATCTGATGTTCAAGACAGCACGCATATCTCCTGTTGAATCATATCGATAGCACGCACAGTTGTCGTTTGAGTTTTAATGTATAATAGTTACAACATGTTCAATTCAATACATTTTCAACATTTAAAACCACTGCGCTAAGTTTTTCAGTGTATTTTCTTACATGCAAAAACTTACTGATCTTAATTAATGAAGTTATCCGGCTTACAGATGTTAGTTGATATTGTATTTGTGTGCATGTGTTTGTGTGTGTGTTTGGTTGTGGTGTGTGTGTGTTTGTGTTGTGTGTTGTGTGTGTGTGGTGTACGTATAATGCATCTTCCTCACACGTACAACTCCATTTGCGATTGTTGGTCTCGTTATTGAAATGTTTTCTTTTGTCATATTCTATCTGTCTTGTATTGCACGTTACATTTCTACCGCTGGCGTCACACGTGCGGGCACACTTTCAAATGTGTGATCGTTGCTGTTCAATTTAATTGATGGATCGACTTTGCAGGCGATGGTGGGTGGATGTTCTGCTGAAATGTTTCTTATTAGTTTGCGTCATATTTTTTTTGGACGTTGTCTCACGTTTTCAAAGCGCTGAGCGCGTGATACTGCGTGCCGACGTCTGCCGTGTTAACTGTTCAATTAATATGGACCAGTAGTGCAGTTTTATGACGTTCACAAGTTTTTGCTGCCAACCCTGAACGATAATAATGTTATTCAGCTGATACTAACTCGGAGTGACAACAAACAACCAAATGCCTCGCTATCTAAATTCAATCAAGCAATCAATCAATCAACCAGTCAGCTTTCGCTTAACAAACAACCAACCCAACAACTAATCAACCAACTATCCATCAAACCAAACAACCAATCCACCTTACACCCAACCATCCATTCAATCAACCAACCATCTAACCAACCAAACAACCAACTAACCAGCCCATCTTCCATCCAACAAACCAATCAACCAACCAACCGACCAACAGAATACAACAGATTTGAAGCGAAGGTCTACGAGTTGAGACAGCAGTTGATCCGATCCACCAGTCGGCTGACACTGAGGACTACCAAGAAGAAGACGCTGTTTGTCAGGTATGCTCATGCAGTTATTATTATTATTATTATTATTATTATTATTATTATTATTATTATTATTATTATTATTATTATGTTATTCACTCTAATGACATTCCTCAGAGGATTGTTTGTACTGTGGTTAAATGCTTTGTTGAACAAATAACTTTTTAACTCTCTTCTGAAATCTTCTTCTGGAGCAAATTATGTTGCGATTATGTCTACAGTACTGAGTACGCTCATGTAAGATATCATCAACACAACATCTACCAACATAACAAAAATTAACAACAAATTTTGTCTCACCATCATCGTCGTCGTCGTCATCATCACTGTAACGTTGTAGCTGCACGTAATCTAGTAGAAGGATTCTATCGAGTAAGGACATCTGGAATCACTAATCACTTTTTTGTATTAACGAACTTGGTTCACCGATAAAATGATCAAGTTCTGGCTTATGTGACTAGTTTTCTTATTTATAATCCGGCTATGTGCTGGCTGCATCGATTTCTCATATATTTTATAGTCTTCTTCATCGATAGCATTATTTAATGTGACATTGATGAATGCACTCGGAAAAAAAATGTTTTTTTTTTGCATTTATATAACTTTTATGCATGTCCGTATACATATCCGAACATTTATGCAGTGTCTATTTTTAGGTACGAAGTAAAACATATTAGCATAGAAATATCTCTTCATTTCTTTATTATTTCGTAGCGTGCTACAACATCATGCGCTCACATGCACACTCATAAATGCTTTAAACGCACTTATTTACGCACTTAAACGCACATAAGCCAATTCTTAATCATTGAATTTTCAATTGGACTTTTTTTTTATAAAGACCCACACATCTTCGAAAGTAACTCACGCACGTTCTAGCACGTTCCACAGAGCGCTGCTAATCCTTCCAACAAGCATTTCCGCTCATATCAACGCGGCCTCAGTCGCACTGTCACACCGAACTCCACTCCAAACATGCAATCCTCGCACATCCACACACACTCGCTTAAAGACCGACCTTCAAACATTCAAACGCCCACAGAGCCCTCTTCGATTATGACCCCTCGAAGGACAAGGACCTGCCGGCTCGGGGACTGGCCTTCTGTTACGGGGACATCCTGCACGTAACGAACGCCAGCGATGATGAGTGGTGGCAGGCCCGGAGGATCGTGCCTGGCTCCGACGACGGTCTCGGCATCATCCCAAGCAAGAACAGGTTTTCCGAAATTTTTTCTATTTTGCCGTCAACTCGTTTGCACTGGCAAACGATCAGCCGAATTAGGAAAGCCGTCATTCACATCTAGTGATGTTATGCTTGCCTCGTGCTCTACGATTTGATTTTTAGGTATTTGTTCAGAATTTTCACAACTCCCAAAATTTTCTTCATCGGTCACCAGTGTGCACGGAAGGCTTAACGTTCGTGCCATGCTGGACCAACACCAGTGGTGTTGCTTACTCTATATTGAATTGTAAATAAATATAAATGGTAAATTGTAAATAGTTTTTTTTCTTGTAAGAATTTCTCAAACTTTATTTTCATGAGCAGCTTGAATTCTTTCTATTATTATTATTATTATTATTATTATTATTATTATTATTATTATTATTATTATTATTCCTCCTTACTCACCAATCATTACGTTACATTACTTAATTTTATCTGGTTGTATGTTGTAACATTACACGTAAGGTTACAAAAATACGAAGCTATGGTTATAATATCATGACGTAATTTACACGTAACATGGGTTTACGTAAATTTCGAACTTAATATAATCGTGGACGTAATACATAAACATGGCGTAACGCTAACAAAATGTAGTAGCATAATCATGACGTAATATACATGGCGTAGATATAAATATGACGTCATGCAACTCTCTACGAATATGACGCGATGTAACGTGTAATGTAATATAGATTAATATTCATGACGTAATCTAACATGACGCAATATTTGCATTACTTAATAATAGGCGTGACGTAATATAATGGTGACGTAATATAATAGTGACGTAACTTAATAGTGACGTAATCGTGACGTAGTATAAACTTTACGTAACCTAATATTGACGTAATATAATCGTGACGTAATATAATTGTGACGTAACTTAATAGTGACGTAATCAAATCGTGACGTAGTATGAACTTTACGTAACTTAATCGTGACGTAATATAATCGTGAGGTAGTATAGACGTGACCTAATACAAATATGGCATAATGTAATAAGAGAAACTCAATCACTGTATAGCATATTATTGCGCAAAATGAGTATAAGTATGACGTCATATCCTGACGCGCAATAACACAGGTTGACGTAATGAAATAAAATCGTGACGTAATATCACGTGACGTAACAATCCTTAATGTGAAGTGACGTGACTTGATGTGATGTGACGTAATGTAGTGACATGGCGTGACGTCACACAGCCTACGTAACGCCTAATGATGTCATATAAAAAAAACAAAAAATATCCATTTTTATAATATGACGCAATGCAACCTAACATAACATGACATGACTTAATAGGACATAGTGTGGCGTAATGTGACGTAATATGACGTCACGTTATATTGGATGACGTAGTAACTCGGTGTGACGTAAACGCAGGATCGAAAGAAAGGAGAAGACGCGGCTGAAGAATGTGAAGTTCCTATCAAGAGAAGCTGACGGGAAAGGGGTTTGTTGTGGTGTGGCGTGGTGTAGCTTGGTGTGGTTTGGTGTGGCTTGGTGTGGCGTATCACCCGAATAATTTTTTTTTAAATGAAACTTGACATCAGTCTTTGGAAAGGAAGAAGAAGTCGTTATTTGGTCGGAGGCTGTCCTTGACAAGGAGTAGTGAGAAGAGTAAGAGTCTCGATGGTTTGTCGCAAGAACCAGGTGTGTATGTATGTGTGTGTGTGTATTTGTATGTGTGTATGAGTGTGTGTGTGGGTATTGGTATGTGTGTGCGTGCGTGTGCCTGCGTGTGTGTGCCGAATTATGAATGACCATTATTGGTGTTTTTATGTCGAATCATTCCTTGGTATGTTGCGATAGAAAGTTAGAAAGTTAAGAATAGTCTTGATCGGTTGTAATCCTTCCAACTGTTAACACCTGCATACATTCACACTCGTCAATGAAGATCGCTTGATTATGTCATGTTATGTCATGTTATGTTATGTTGGCCTGGTTATTTTCTCTTGTTTTTCAATCCTTCAATCATTCTCTTGTTTTTCAATCATTTCAATCTTGTTATTATGGCCCTCCGGGCAGTTTTGTCAATAAATATAATACAATATAAATTCCATTTCGGCCAGTATCCAATCTGGAGGAGCCCATTCTGACGTACGAAGTCGTCGTCCAGCAAGAATGTTCGTGCCATACATTTATTTTCTTTAATTCGTTTTTATGTTCCATTGCAATGCTTTAATGATATTAATAATAATAATAATAATAATAGTTATTATTATTGTTGTTGTTATTATTATTATTATTATGTTTATCATACTCTATGCTTATCATAAAATTTGATTGATAACGCCAAAATAATAAGAATGATTGAACCCCATTTGAACAATTAAACCAGCCCCCTCTAATATGTACTCACTTGCAGTGACGAGCATTTTAGATTAATAGGATTTTATAATTATTTCATTATTGATATTTGGTATTTGGAGTTGGAAAAATAGAAGGATGTTCTCATTACTGTTAATTATTGCTGCTACTGGGGTTGTTAGTTAGGACGGTTTATACGTAATAACGCCCCACAGTGCAGTACGTAAGACCCCTGGTGTTGGTTGGTTTGTTGAAGGAGGCCATCAGCGGCGACCTCATACTCGAGTACCCTGACCTCTTCGCTAACTGCTTGCCTCGTTAGTATCTGTCTGGTTGTTTGTCTGTCTGGTTGATGGTCTGTCTGGTTGTCAGCCTGGGTTTTTAATTGTCTGGTTGCTGGTCTGACTGGTTGTTTTGCACTGTGTTTGTCGATGATTTCTCTCTTCTCTGCTGCAGTTTTCGTTGTTTTTTCACTATACAAAATTTCTTGTTTTTCCATCATGTATCCTTGCAACGGCAGAGTCATTGTCATCATTGTTAACATCACGTAAGCTGCAAACACCACATCGTCCGCTAAGTTCAGACAACACCCGCCACACCCGCTACAAACGCAGACACGACGCGACCGAAACGCGACTACGAGGTAGACGGGCAGGACTATCACTTCGTAGCCTCGAGACAGCAGATGGAGGAGGATATTGAGAGGGGACTTTTCATAGAGGCCGGTCAGTACAATGGAAATCTGTACGGCACCAGTCTGGCCTCTATATTGAGAGTGGCGTCTGAGGTGAGGTGTGGCTGTCTAGTGGTGTCTGATGCGGTTGTCTGCTGTCTGGTGTGTCTACTATATAGTAGTAGTTAATTGCTTGTTTTATTTTAAATGTTAATCGCTCAATTTGTACTTCATACATTTATTCAATTATTCATCTCATTCATGTACTTATTTATATTTATTTTCATTTCAATTTCATTACACACATACACACACACACACCACACACACGCGCGCGCGCACACACACACACACACATACAGGACAAGCACTGCATTCTGGATGTGAGTCCCAACGCCATAAAGAGGCTGCAGATGAATGGATTGTATCCCATCACGATCCTCGTCAAGCCTGCAACCATCAGTACCATCCAGTTAGTTCATATGTGCTCTTGTGTCGTTGTGCGTGCTGTTTCGTATGTGTGAAGGTGGATGTGTAGGCGTGTGTGTGTGTGTGTGCGTGTGTGTGTGTGTGTGCGTGTTTAGGCGTGTGTGTGTGTGTGTAGGTGTGCGTGTGTGTGTGTAGGTGTGCGTGTGTGTGTGTGTGCGTGTGATTTGATGTACTTAGTATTCAACCAGGCGTTTTAAAACCTGATAACAATGATATTAATATTAGTGGCGATGATAATGATTATGATGACGATGATAGTTTTGATGATAAGGATGATGATGATGATGATTTTTATGATGGTGGTGGTGATGATGATGATGACGATGATGATGGTAATGATTGTTTCCGAAGGGCGTGGAATCGTCGCCTGAACGAGGGTGAAGCTCGCAAAGTCTACGAGAACAATTTGAAGCTGGAGCAATCCTATGCCGACTACCTTACTGGTAGGTTGGATGGATGGATGGATGGTCGGTTGCTAAAATGGATGGATGGTTGGATGGCTGGCTGACTGGCTGGTTGGTTGGTTGGTTGGTTAGCTGAACGGTTGGCTGGTTGGTTGGTTGGTTGGATGGTTGGTTGATTGATTGGTTGGTTGGTTGGCTCTTTAGTTGGTTGGCTGGTTAGTTGGTTGGCTGGCTGGTTGGTTGGTAGGCTGGTTGGTTGCTAAATATGAATAGATAGTTGGCTGGTTGGTTGGCTGGTTAGCTGGTTGCTGGTTGGTCGGTTGGTTGGTCGGTTGGTTGGTTGGTCGGTTGGTTGGTCGGTTGGATGGTTGGTTGACATCATGAATGACATCATCCTCACAACATGAATGACGTCATCGTCACTACCATGACAACATGACAGCAATAGTGATTGGAGACCAGGCAGAAGAGGTATACGCCAGTGTGAAAGATGTCATCTGGAACCAATCCAGCTCCTACATCTGGGTTCCTGCTGATCCGTTCTCCTGA